GCCAAGGGGGCCAGGGGTGCTAAAAGGCCAGGGGGGCTAAGGGGGCAAGGGCAGCCAGGGGACTAAGGGGGCCAAGGGAGGCCGAGTTTAACCTACCTACTATTCTAGCAGGGAAATTCAAAGCAAGCACAACAAAAAATGTTAATRTCTTTTAGTATAAATACACAGGTGATTATTGAAAATCTTGTGCGCTGATTGGTCGAGAATCAGATTATGACACGATAATCACCTCCAGCGATAATCCAAAATGGCGGCCAGCTGCTTTGTTGCTGTTCCTAATCTTAAATGTGTCTTATTTTTTTGTTTCTTTGAAAGAATCACCTGTGTATTTATACTAAAACAATTATTCACCTCAGGTTCAGTGAATATCGGGAATAATAACCTCAACTTTGTTTCGGTTATTATTCCCCAATATTCACTTCACYTTTGGTAAATAATTGTTAAAGATACTACCAACTAAAATATCATTTCATCCAATGAGTGCACATGTTACTGATATATAGGCTAGTTTTGATAAATAGCAAAACCAAGATATTGTGATTCTAAAAAGAATTGGAAGTAAATACATGATTTGAATGCAGGGATATTTCCAAAATTGCACTCAACTTAGGATAAGTGAGAAATATTAATGAAGTATTATAGTCGCACAAAGTTCATTAATCTTTATTAACAATAATTACAGACAACACCATTACTAATCAAAACCCCAATTCCTTTAAGATGGAAACCACTTTGTCTTTGTGGTTTCCCTTTATTTTTACTTGTCCTGTAAGTTCATTGATTTGAATTACAAGATCCTTATCCAGTTTATCATGCAAAAGGCACTCAAGGGCCTACAAAAAGAAAGAAAAATTAACAAAGCTGATAAGTGAAATACCAAGACAAACACACACAAAATAACTTGTCATCGCTTATCACCATTGCAAGTACAGCAGTGGCGCAGCTCAACTGGGTTGAACTGAAAGCATGTGAAGGCACCTCTAGGAGCTGCTATACAGTCCATGTATAACCCCGGAGCACAGCTATAACCAGTTTGAATTAGTTAGGGTTGATTTTGAGACGGGGAGGAAAACCGGAGGACCGGAAAAACCCTTGGAGTCAGAAAGAGAACCAACCAACTCAGCTCACATGGGATGACTGGGATTTGAACCCCAAACCTCAGAGGTGAGAGCCGAGCATTTTACCACCATGCCATCCTGACTCCCCAAAGGTATGAACATGCCACARAATGTACAAAATAAGATTCAAAGACCGTGCCAAAGAGTACCCAGAAACATGTGTGTATGTGTGGGTATAGGGGGGCTTAGACTGTAAAATTAATCAGACTAGTTGTTCGTTAGAAGATTCTAGAATAATGTACAAGTAATAGAAAAGTAATAGAAAGTTCTAGACATAGATAAGTTTCATGCCTAAAGTCATGCATAAGTTCATATTCCAGTAAGTTCTAGAAAATTGTTAAAAATAGGTATGATGTAAGTTACTAAAAATAGCAACAAATTGCACATTCTAAAACATAGCTCAAAAAGTATATAAGTTGGAACCACTCAGTTCACTGTGGGTGCAGTTGTATAGTGAAGTTGAAGTAGTATATAGTCCAGAAGATCAGATTGTAAAGAAGTTAAATCAACAAATAAAACCCTTCAGAACACTAGTTAATACTGGATTGCGAAAGTTATTAGAAGTTTTAAAAGGTGGGGGCTAAGACTTGAGAATTTAGAAGTTATTAGCAAAATGTTGATGCACCATGGCCCTCCTAGCCCAGTAACTAACAAAAATGCTAGCAATATTAATGCACAGTACCATACTTACTTTAAGGTCTCCCTTGATTTTTCTAATAACTGTGATATGCCTTGTTCCTCCAGCTTTATAATCTGTATACACTGGTAAATTATTCATTTTGGATCTTTTAAGAAAAAATGGGAGGTCTGGTGGTGTTTCTGAAGTCAAGAGGAAGATGACTTATTAATCCCAACAATACTTCTGTAGATATGCTTCAATAAATTGCCATTATTATTATCATTATTATTATTATTATTATACGATTGTATTTTGGGGAAAAAATCAATAAAGTTTCCATTATTATTATTATCAGCAGTAAACACTTTTGAATGCTAATTAGGTAAGCTAAATAGGGTGTAAATTTGTAACCTACCAGCATGACAGGACTAATAATACAATCACTTAAAACCAATTATAGAGGGGGGAAATATATATATATATAGCTATATCGTAAAATGTCTTATTATTATTATTATTATTATTATTTAAAATGAAAATTAACACAAAAATCTGACATTTCGGAGTCATCTTAGCTCCATTATCAAGGTTTAATAATCAAAGTTTTGTCTCACTATTCAAATGTTTAACGAAACTTTGATTAAACCTTGATATATGGAGTCAAGATGACTCTGAAATGTTGAATTTTTGTATCAATTTTCATTTTAAATACATTTTTACAATTTGTCTTATTATTATTATTATTGTTGTTGTTGTTGTTGTTGTTGTTGTACAGATAAATACTCAAAAAGTTAGGACTGGAATATTTCCATCAGATGATGCCTGTACCGACAGGACAATCCAAGAGTGGGGTGTGGTCCATTTTTTCATTGCACAATATTTTTCTATTTCAGACCATGTTACATCCCAATAGGTCATTAATTTTTTTTTTGCTCAAATATTTCCATTTCATCCCATTAGGAACAAAATCCTTTCCTTCAGTTTTATCCATACTATAACTGTGCTCTCTCAACCATTACTGACAAAATAAGAACATCATACTCTAGGAAATAACAGGTCTTTAAACATGCCAGCTTGAATGATCACGCAACACAATCTTTATTTTAATTTTTAATTCTTATTAAACATATAAATATATTTATATTCATGAAAGTAAAAACATTTGTTCTTATACCCACATCTTCAATGTAAGGCTACTTTGGGAAAATCTATTGTTCTTGTCGGCACGGCTGCATGAGAAAGAGAAAGGTGCACCACAGGTATCCCATTCATATCAAAAATAGTACCCCTTACCTGTAGGCGGTACCCATCCACTTGGAGATTCTTCTATTTCCTTTAGCCTCTCAGGATCTATTTGGACCTCTATCGTTTTGTTTGCAGAGTCATGTTTTTGCTATAGACAATTCAAATAAATGTGTAAGCTTTAAGAAAGACCAAAATTTACATTGTAGCGAAAGAACAAATACTAAAATAATTATAACTATTTCTAACACCTAGATCTAATTTTCTAAAGATATTTAAATAAAACTTAATATCTTAAGCTAGCTAGCTTATATCTTTTGCTATAAGAGTTGCCAAAAACGTGTTCAAAGCTAGAGCTATTATGTTTGATTTCAAAAAGCGCACTTTTTGATGCCAAATTCTACCTTCATTTGAGAAACCAGAAGACCAGTGCGTATRCATGAAGCTATATCTCTTGAAACAGCCAGGTGTGTCCCTAAAGTCCTACAAGATCCTGTCAAAACCCTTCTGCACAAAAAGGTCGCCATTTTGTATTTTCTTTGAAACCGCTGGTCATACAAACTGCATACTTAGAAGAATCCCAAGAAGCCTTGCGCGCTTGTCTGCGCGTCAAAGCTGCGCAGTAAAGCACTTTTTTTCCTCTTCTATTTTATTGCACCACCACGTGTAAACTGTGGCAAGGTAGGCTACCAAAACACCTTCAAAAACACTTTATATTAATACCCTTACCTTTTTAAACGGTTGTATTTTATTAAAGAGGTATTAAACTTTCTTTCTGATCTAGAACCGACAACATGCAGTTGTTTATTCGCGGACAAAACCTTCATACTTTGAACCTTGATGGATGTGACTCCATCTTGTCTGTAAAGAAAGAGGTCTCTCTTCGAGAGGGAGTCGATGTTGAGGATCAAGTTCTCTTGTATGCTGGACAACCCCTCGAGCCTCACTTGAGCATTGAGGAATGTGAGCTTGGCGATCAGGCTACTCTTGAACTCAGCGTTCGTCTTCTTGGAGGTTTGTTCAGAAAAAATCATATTTCGTTTTGAAGTAAATCCTGTTATTAAACTCATAAAGCTTGAAATGTTTTCGTTTGAGGAAATAAAAAATATCAATTAGTTTGAAAATATTGTGTACTTTATTGTTTCTCGAATTTTAACAAATAAAGAGTATATTATTCTTGATTTCTGTCTTATTGCAATGACATTGACATTGATGACTACCTCTTTCACATATTACATATGAAATGATTAGAAAAATATGTTAAATAAAAAAACCATATAATGATATTACAAGAAAAAAGAGCAAAGAAATAAAACAGTATGATAATAATATATAGTTCTCTCATTTTCTTTTATTTCCATTTAGTAATATTTACATTTCTTTGATATTAAATGTATAATTTAAATGTTATGCTTACTTTTTTAAATTATTTTTTAGGAAAGGTTCACGGTTCTTTGGCCCGTGCAGGAAAAGTTAAATCCCAAACACCAAAGGTAAAAATAGTTGCTACACATACTTTACCCCATAGAACAATGACATTTAGGGGTTAATAAGTAGCAAATAACGATAGTTCAAGCTGTGTAAGTTAAACACTTTATACATCTATTTCAAAAAAGGTTGAATGCTGATAAACAATGTCACTATGACCACCCATGTTCTTGGAATGCACTATTCAGTATCCAGTATTCAACCTTTTTTGAAATAGCTTTAATCAAAAGGTATACTATGTTCAACTTGCATTATATACACCATAAAGGAGTGATGTCAAGTGAATAAGAACAAACCTGTAAAAGGGTCTGCAAATATACTGACAGAATGAAAAATAGCAGTCCTTCTACAAATGACCTTCTTTGTGAGACATATAAATAAGTATTTTTTTGATTGACAGAAGAGTATTGCCCCATTTTTGTGTTGCAACTGTTGTCTCAATCAGCATGTAACAATGGAAAGCGTGATAATACTCTCGTAATATCAACAAGGAAATCTATGATGTTATTGGTCTATCTCATTATTTTTCTTGTAAATCCTCTTCACTAGTAAAACTATATTTTGATCCTATTTCCTTAGTCTTTTCTAAGCAAAGTAATGCATCAAGGGGTTCTTGTACTATGATAATACAGTTGTGGATTCAGGGTTTTTTTAGGAGGGGGTATACCATTTATGATTATGACATTCTCAAAGCCAAGCACCAATAATGCAGTAGATATAATTCTCTATAAAAGGTCATCTGGGGATGTATGCTCACTTCATGCACCCTCCCCTAGATCTGACCCTGTGATGATGGTGATGATTGTGATATGGATGGCAAGGGCGATGATGGTCATGATCATAATGCTACCACCACAGACCTAACCTTGTCTTTGTATCTAGGTTGACGCACAAGAGAAGAAGAAGAAAAAGACTGGTCGTGCCAAGCGCCGCATGCAATACAACAGGCGATTTGTTAATGTAGTAGCTACCTTTGGTCGCAGAAAGGGGCCCAACTCCAATGCACCTTGAAATACTGTTAATATATTGTCTGAAGTCTCCTAGTACTGCAGGACATTGTTAATTCAATGCAATAAAGTGCTGTATAGTCAGTTGGCAATCTTCTGTTCTTTATGGAATRCACTTAAGATTTTAAGCACTAAAACACTCTAAATAATTTGTATTCTACCGTGATTATTTGATTATTAGACTCTGATTAGTACACATTGTTTCATGGGTCTATGAAAAACCACTCTACCTACATGCAAAGGTTGCTTTAGGGCTTTTTTGCATTTATGCTTGATCAAAACTCCCAGACGTCTGAGTTTTTGCCTCCTGTCAGTCAAAGATTGACTAAATCAGACTGTCGTACTGTTCAATAGAAGCCCAAACAAAACCTCCCAACCCATCCTCTGGGGATGTTACACTAGCTACTAATTCTCACCAAGGGTTAAAGCCAGTCATCAGACAATGTTCAGCCAGAATTGGAACTTGTCTGGCCAAATCTTTGCCTTACCAGTCACCTTGACCAGTAAAGTTGAGCCAGAAATGAGATATGACCAAGATAAAACTAACTTGCTGTACTGGTGACAGGTGACTGACTGGCTGACATAACGGTAATTGAGGGAAATGGAGTGACTGCTCTCAGTTTAAGATTATACTTGTCGATGAAATGGAAATCATACTTTTAGGTTTCTTTCAGTGTGTAATCATTTTTGGGGGGAGTGGGTAGTGGTACAACTAACAACCCACCCTMCCCTCCCTCAACCACTTGGGTCCTGTTTTGAACATAACTGCATGACGTAGAGAAAAGCGAGAACACAAAAAAGAAAGTACGAATTTGCTTTCTCAAATCCTTTGTGATGCTCGTTCATGAAAATTGTGTTAATATCAACAAGAGAAGAAGAATGTAATGTCATTATAAGTGACATTGTGCAAACAAAACCGTAATTTATGGATGCCATAAAATACCTTTATTCACACTATAGCTGGACAAATGTAGGGTGCTTCTTGCTGTCTCTACTTTTCAGCTTGAATTTTCCTGGGGRAAAAAATGCATTTTCGGCTTGTAGTCTTCTTCCTTTTTGCGCTATTCTTCATCCGAATGCCCACGTCAGAAGGCAAGGCCAAAAGAAACATAGGTGAACCGGATTCTCRGGTAATTCGATAGCCATGTCATGTCATTGGTACCTACACTTAAATCTTCCACAGCTGCCTTCAAAAACTAACCAGCGAAAACTTTGAGACAACTGAACATCTCACATTTCTTTCTTTCTTTTTTAGCGTTTAATACCGACTTTTGTCATTTTTTTGCAAGAACCAGTACTTACAAAAGAAATGTCTTAAACCAGCACTTAAAATCTTTTAACTAGAGCCGCAAGTTGATAATAAGTGGACAAAACGTTAGTTTTTTGATAAACCAAAAGCTTGAGAGTTGTGTTTCATTTGACTGAGATAGGATAGAATCCTGCTCAATGCCCTGAATTGCTGGAAATTGGCAAATAGTACTTAATTTTGCGCAAAGACCGGGAGAGATTCCGTTGTTGGACACTGAGGAATTCAAAAAATTAAGCAAACAACGTTCAATCTTTAATTTGTAGAGCTCTTTTTATTCGCCTAATTCAATGACATTCAGATGGTCGACGGTATATTAGAAATGGTTCGCGCGTAGATTATCGTACAGCCAAGTTATATTTTGATCTCAATTTTTTTCTTACTTTCGTTGAGCAATAAAAAAGAAAAAAAGGCATTTTACGACTGGGCTACACAGGTATCCCAGTAATTAAATTATAGTCTAACGCAATATCGTTAAAAAATTATAGTTCGCAGAGCCAGCTCCTATTGAAGGCGACTGTCCGTGCTCAAAGATCGCATGTGTTGGAGACAAAGGTCCAAAGGTAATGTGGCGCCCCAATAGCACATGTTTCTTTATTTTCTTTTCCACTCATGGTTTTTACCAAGAAATATGGACGTGCCAATCTTGATAAATCCATTACCCGGAAACAAGCCAATCGCAGTTTCGGAAGGAGATGTACTAACTGTACGTTTTCTAGGTCGCAATTTTACCGGTAACATTTTCTATACTATTATACCCCAAGGGTGATAAAGGTGATGTTGGGCCCGAGGGTGCTCAAGGTCCCAAAGGTGAACAAGGACCCATCGGACCAAAAGGTCCCCAAGGAGACAAGGGTGGTATTGGGCCTAGAGGATCCACAGGACTTACCGGAACACCTGGAATAATAGGCCTTCCTGGAAAAGCTGGAGTGAATGGGTCGAGAGGAGCAGTGGGACCAAGAGGTCCTCAAGGATTGACAGGAGCTCAAGGTCCTYGTGGACCAGAGGGGCCCCAAGGAAATGAAGGTCCTAAGGGTCCTCCTGGTGCAGTTGGAAAGCAAGGAGACAAGGGAGATAAAGGTAATGAAGTTAGCTATAATGCTCTTGAAACAAACCCCAACGAGCTGAGGTAGTGTATTGTATTTTGTTATGGAATCTTTTTTTCCAGGAGACAAAGGCGACAAAGGAGATAAAGGAGCGCCGGGACAGAATGGTGCCAAAGGTCCCAAGGGACTACCAGGGGCCCAAGGCCCAAGAGGACCAGAAGGTCCTCAGGGTAATGAAGGACCTGAAGGACCCAAAGGTAATACTGGCCCACCTGGCCCTAGAGGACCCCAAGGTGGGACTGGACCGATTGGACCAAAGGGACCTAGAGGCCTTAAGGGAAGCCCAGGTCCACAAGGAAATCAAGGAAAACCAGGGGCTGATGGGAAGCAAGGGGTGGCAGGACCACAAGGACTACGAGGAGAACGTGGGCCCAAAGGTACTCCGGGAAGCTGCGTAACCCAGGTGAGCATGGAAAAAGCTTGTTTGTGTGTCATGGGTGTTTTCAACAAATTCATTGCCTTACGTTGGAAACTCCTTCCACAGTGCGCAGATATCAAGATGCACCTTCTTAAAGAAATAGAAGACTTAAGGAATTTTACCAAAGCGCAGGTGAATAACATATTTTATTCAAACTTTTCCAATGCTTTTCATCCTCTATCAGTGATAATTGACCGAAATTTCAAATCACATCTTAGATCAAGGAATTGCAAAGACAGATTGATGAACTAAAGCCAAGTAAGCACCGTAGATTCAATACAGATAATCTTAAAATTGGTTGTTTATAATTTGACCACAAACTATGAATGACCTGCGTCCATAACAAATAGTTTAGCTTTATCTCGTCTTCCTCCCTCCGTAAAAATCAACATGTTTAGTTAAAGTGTCGTGTGTTGTAGAGAGTGAATGCAGTGGTAGTGCATGTGGAGCGAACCTCACAGAAGAGCCCCACAAGGGGAGTGATGGTTGTAAAATATACAAAATATATATATTTTAGAACCAACTGCAAGGCCTACCACCCCTCCTCGTGGTAAACTAGGAAGCAGAGGTAACCCTGGACGCTCATGCAAGCATATAAAACAACATGACATGTAAGTGCATGAGCTTTTTTCTTATCTAGTAGAACTCCACAAAAAAAAAACGCTTAACAATTGATCTGAATAACAGTTTTGATCATAAACAACGTAGTTGCGATATCCTCATTACACATTGGAAAACACCTATCACTGTCACAAATTCTTTTTTTATTTGTAAAGTCAATAAGTAAGAAAGCCCCCTTGAATATTTATATTCTTTTTATAGCAACTAAGCTTGGTAAATAGGGAATGCCTGGCCCATTATAACTGAGGTGTATCCAGGGTAGCTCGAGGTTCCCTAACTGGTTGCCTGTTGTATGCATGTGCGAATCTCAGCGTAAAATTGACAATAACTATTTGTGTGAACCCACCAATAAAAAATATCCCCTGAATCTCTTAGCCCATCTCTTCTTCCAGACGCGCACGAAGTGGAAAGTATTACGTGGAAACGGACACACCAGCTCGTCAAAGTCTTGTCTACTGTTACATGGAAAACCTTGGCATGTGTGGAGGAGGTGGATGGACTCTAGTCATGAAGATTAACGGAAAAAAGGTACACCCAATAGCAGTCTTTGAATCTGAAATTATTTATTAGGACGATTGTTTTGATTCGTGCAGTTTTTCTCCTTTATCTTTGATTTTCTCCCTAAGGTTTCCATGTAAAATACGTCACGGCTAGTTTCAGTTTTCTTTCAAAACGCATCCCACATGGAAAGGAGTGACCATTGATAGCTCACCATCTGCGACACAAACGATATACTAGGTTTGCTGGTTATAGCAAGGGGTTAATCATCTATGGTTTAGGGGCCGACTAACTTTTCCCTTAGGCTTTTGCCAAGCTTCCTGATCAGCCYGTAATTCCTCCCGGGATAGCGGTGTTGGGGTCGAAATCTGCAGCGTAGCCGTTAGTCCATACGACGGTTCAGCACTCGATGTCTGGAAGTATGGTCCTGGTTAAGTGTAACCAAATAACAAAAAAATAACATTGTTTTCCTAGCAGTTAGACTTTAACAGTCTTTTGGGCTTTCTTCCACAGCAAACATTCCGTTACGAATCGCCATTATGGACGAACAGAGTCGAATACCAACCTTACTATGGTTTATCAGCGTTCGGTATCAAAGAGTCTAAAACAGCTGCATACTGGTCCACCCCCTTCACGCGCGTTTGCATAGGCATGCGCACGGCGAGATACTCCTTGAAATTCATGCGCATTGACTACAGCGCAAAATCGCTGTACGATGTCATCGCCGATGGGAAATACAAAGCGACCAGTAGTGGACGGGAGAGCTGGAAAAGGTTGGTGCATGGAGCATCGCTACAAAGAAACTGTAACCGCGAAGGTTTCAATATTCAAATGAGACTGGGGAGTATCATTGCTGCTCGGGCAAGAATCGGAATCGCTTCGAACCAAGAAAATGACTGTGGGTCATGTGACTCGAGGATTGGTGTTGGAACGGACGGGTCTTTATGTGGGCAAGATAGTACAAACAGCTGTGGGAATGAAGCGCGATGCTCACCTGACAATGGAAACAAGAGCATTAAGACTTACGGATATATTTTTGTACAATAATTTAATAGTATTTGTAGATATTCTTTCTATCAACAAATATTGTAAAATGCATGCAAGAGAAAAATAAACGATGCAGACTTTTTAACTATGAATCCTAGCTTTGAACTTTAGGACAAAATCCACAAATGCCTCTGCAGACATTTTTTAGAATTCAAAAAAGCTGTATTCATTTTTTATACCCATTTAGTATAGCCAAGGGTGGATTCASGGGGTGTTTTGAGGTGCACCTGATATCCCCTAATGCTGAAGTTACTCTTACGCTTTTTTAAACCAATGCATAATATCTTTACATACCTTTCTTTACTTGGGACACACCCCTGTAACAGATTCCTGGATCCACCTCTGCAAGAAGCCTGCGTAGCTCAGCTCTATCTAAAATACCAGGCCTTGCAGGCAGGCCCTCCCATCTTTCCCCTCTAACCACCCCTAGGGCCAAGCTACGCAGGCTACCTCTGCAAGCTAACACATTCACTTGAAAGTCAATGACATATCCATATTACAACAACTACACTACAATGCCATTTGGTAAGTTTAATCAGAGGAAAAACATAAATTTAACATTTTTTACACGTTTTTACATTCAAAGTTTTGACGTTAAACATGCTTTTACACGAATAAGAGTACATAAAAATATACCTAAATATCAAATAATAAAAATCTTCAAAACGGTCAAACACTGAACAAAAGTCTGAAAAGTTGCCTAAGCAAGAAAGCAAACCATCACCAGAAACTTACTAGAAGCATTCCTTCTACAAAATACTCAGTACAAGAAACAATTATTGAAACATCTTATTTTGGATTATTATTGAAGTTTCTGGTGAAATTAATGTTAGAGAACATCATGGATTGCTTCGTCATCTAAGCACGAAAATGTATCTTCATCATCCAAAATTAGGCCATCGACACCATCTCCATCAGAGTCACTGTTAATTATCACCCCTGGCATTGGCCTTGCTATTAGACCTAAGTTAATCAGAAAAGAGGACAAGGATTACTGAAAAAATCTTCATAATGAACTAAGTGTAAGAGGTTTTTGGGTAGAATTTTAGTTAAAAATAAATATTAACTGCACGATGCAATAAAAACTTGGATGATATAATATTGCATAGCACTATCAACCTTTTCCAACAAATATAATCGCTTATTGAAACTGGCCTACTTTATATTACCAAATATATGACTCTGATGTAGTGTATTACAGCCAGTTTTGGATAACGAAGCTACATTCCCACTGACACTCCAGAATTTGGTCTTAAAACGTGACTGAAGAATTTCTACAGTTTTTCAAGAAATGTTATAGCTTGACAATTAGTTCCTGCTAAATTCTCAATTGCTCATCATCATCAGAGCATATTTCAACACTAAGTTCATCACCAGCTCCCTCTCCACCCTGTCCATTCAAATCCACGGCAACTACTAACATCAGTTGGTCTAGATAAATGAATCAAATCAAAACTCAACTAAAAAAGTGATAAAACTAATCAGTGTGTTGCTACAGTATATAATGGCTGATGAATGAATGAATCAAAGAGGTCCCCTTGGATTACCCGTGTTCCACAGGAAGCTACGTCTTACTTGCTTTAGTATGAACCTACTAATGGTCTATCACAAACCCTGTACTCTCATTGGCTGAGCTTCTATTAGAGACAGAATACTAGAGGCAAAAAGCACCAGTTTTGCACCATAACAATGCAAAAGAATAGAATATTTCATAATTGTTTGTATACATTTATTTGACCGATTAGTAGGTTGATACTAAAACAATAGATCTCTTCCCTAATGGGCTATTGACTCTTACTACATCATCAGGGCTGTCAACATTCACTTTTTAACACTTGATGTGATTGGTTTATTTCTGACCAAATTTGATTATCACGTATATTACAATGGCCTGCTTGCAAGAACAGTTTATGAGGAATGTTTTGATTTTGTTAGCGATGTAAAATAACACAAACAACACAAAATTATTGGAATTTTATGGTTGTGAAAGTCGAGTCTCACAAGAAATGGTGAGCTTCGGCGATTATCCGGGAGATTTGAGACTCTAATTTGGAGACCGGGAGATACAGTCCAAAATCTGGAGACTCCCGGTTTATCCAGAAGAGTTGACAGTTCAGGCTGTAGGTCAAATTGTAAATGATGAATCAAGTTGTGAAAGGGTGCCCTTAATTTTCTGAATAACAGTACAGGAGGATACAAAATTTTCGCCATATTCATATGGAATACCAAACACATTGTTTAGCCGGTCAGACAGTATTATACTTACTTATAGCAGTAGACAATCTGCTGTGTCTTTTAGCCAGGTTCTTGGCCATGCTATCCCTAGCAATCTTCTGTAATCTAGGCATTGAAAAACAAAATCATAAGGGTAAGGCATTACTGAGCTATTGGCTACCATCTTACAAACGTTGAGAGGGGAGGGGAGGGGGGAGGAGGAGGGGTGGGTTGAGCACAGGGTTCCCACCATAGTTTATTCAGATTATAAGACATATTTTAACTTAGCAGGTCATACTTACAATCCACTATCTTTAAATACTGGTGTAGCTTTTAAAACTAACGAAGACAAAGTCCTAGCTGTAAGAATGATAACAAACATATATTAGTAGAACACAGGCGTCCTAGGATAGAATGGGAGCGTTTCTATTAGGCATAATTCGAACGTTGACTAAAATATAGCTTACATTTTACTAATCCATTGGTTGACACAGCTGTTCTCTGTCGATGGAAAATCACAGGTTTGTTAGCTTAGTATTTCGTTAATCTAAGTCTTCAACAGCAAGAACTTACGCTTATATTAGACGAAGCTTTGACCAAAGACCTCAAACAACGTGCAGAGATGACAGCCATCTTGTAAACTATACCACAATGCATTGCAAAGCGGGCCCTACAAACCACTCCTGAGTGGGGTAGCGTAAAATTTAGCCTTTTTAATTTTTACTTTTTCTTAACATATAGCCTTAAAAATATTTTTTTCAATCCAAATATTTACCTGCCAATTTTTAATTGGTTGTGAAAGCTTTTCAAAGTTAGTTTTTAGATAAACAGAGAAAAACACCAAAAGGAATCACTGTCTCCTTACCCCTCCCCTGGTTGAAATAGAACGATGTTGTTATGTCATGCACGTGATAATCCAAAATGGCGTCCGCCGCACGAGTTGCGCGCTCTCTTCTTCGAAACACTTCTACATTAAACGTAAGCTATTTATTTCTAAATTACTATATAATAAATCATTTACAAGCTCTAAAATCATTCGTTTATAACTTAAGATATCCTCAAAGGCGATTCTTCGATGTTTAAACAGCTCAGCGCCATGTTCAAGTAAGTGTCCTTGTTGACTGAGATCTTAAGAAATTTTTTTATACTTGAAACTAATGTTTTGACGTCTTCTTTATTAGCAAAGTCTTTGGTATCTTTGAGATCATGCCTCAAGGAAACAGGGCTGTAAGTATTTTAAAACAAATTTCAAATAAACACTAACATTACATATATTATTGAAAGGTTTAATTGGGCTTCCTGTGTTGTACTCAGGCTGTGTGTTACATGTGTGTCTTTTCTAAACTTTTTTGTTTTATTTTCTTAAGATTAAATGCTACRAGAAATAGCAGTCTATCATCTAGAGTGAATTTTAGCAAGAACTTCAGAGTAGCTTCAGCATTATGTGGGTACCAATACACTTAATTGAAATATAGCGATCAATTTGAATAACTATCTTTATGCACTGACTAGCAACTGACTAGCCTCATGTTCACATGAAAACACAAAAGCATTTCACAAGTATTAGTGCCAAGTCAGTCATTAGTCAGTGCAGAATAATAGTTATTCAAATTGGTTGCCATATTTTGATTTGGTGTATAGAATTGAACTTCAGGACCCCGTTGTACAAAGGGTGGATAGTGCTATCCGATGGATTAATCCTTATCCAGTGGATAAGTTGATGCTGTTATCCAATAAATTTATCCACTGGATAAGATTTATCCAACATATAGCGCTATCCACCCTTCATACAACCGGGCCCAGAAAAATATGTACATTTACCTTTAGTTTGACCTTTAGTTTGACCTTCTCTGACCACATGTTCTCTTGATATCTAGGCAACCTGGCAGCTATGCCACTTCTTGCCGTTGAGAGCACAGGAGCTGGATCAGATGCTCTTGATGGCAGTGGCAGTGATGATGATGGAGAAACCTGGTCTCAGAATAGTGAAGAGGGTTATATAGGTGACGACACATAACCTTCAACATTTAAGACTGACTTTTCAAAACTAGCATCCATATAGTTTGGCATAATGTTTTCTCATTTCAATCACATGACATTACTTTGAGTATTATGATTTTTCTTTCCCTCCAAAGCCTGCAGGGGTCATGCTCTGCCATAACCTGCCTGTGAGCTAGCAAGTCTGATTTTACGTAAATCTAAACCATACTAAGAACTTATCTTGAGCTTTGATTTTTTAGTGAGGGGARTTCCTATAAGAAGATTGAGCTTATCTACTGCTGTTAAAAAATTACCAATAAAAAGGTTTTATGCTTTTTAATTATCATTAATTTTGTAAAAGGTTTTTCTTTGTATTTGTGAACCAACCTTTTTTTTGGAAAAAGTTTTAATCTTCTTGATGCCGTCAGATAATGTTTGAAAGCCTGCAAGATTGTCAAATGATGAGAAAGTTTTTATTTAAGTAGCAAAGTGTAATAAATTAATTTCTAAAATCCAAGTGATTGATCAGTCATTATTTAGAGGTATGTGGGGGTCACCCTCACCTTCACCCTCCCTACCCAATACTTCCTTTTTCCCCAAGGGTCTTTAATTTCAAAAAAAAATATTTTAAAAATATAAACAGTCCTATGCAATTATACATTCAAACTTCGTATATGGAGTTTCCATATTTTGTTTTCAAGATCCAAGAATTTTGCATTGACGTTTTGTGGCGGTCGATTCCTATACTTACCCTCCCCTTCCTTACTCGTTCGAATGCACCTGCACGACGTGGAACGCCTATCACATATCACACATTGGTATTTAAATGGTTTCCAAGGCACGGAACACAAACTTTCTTTAATGGACACTGAATATTTCATGCGTTTCTTTGCAAGAAAACGATAGTATTTGAAACGAAAATGCTTCTAGGTACTGTACAAATTACCRGAGAGAGTCTAGGGGAACCAGAAGTCAGAAATATTTGCGATTCCCTTCGCGATAATAGCATTCGACTCCTGTCTCTTCGAGGTTGTTCTGTACAAGACGAGGACTTCAAAAGACTCGCCGATAGCGTCAAAGAAAACGAATCGCTGGTACAACTGAACCTAAATCTTGGTATCTGTAATGGCAAGCAGCGTATCAGATGGCTGGCCGAGGCGCTGACGGGGAATAAGTCGCTGAATGCCTTATTGTAAGTTAAAGGTCGTCGTCTTGTAGTACAAGTTGTGTTGTCATGTTGAATGTTCGCCATGTTGACTTTTAATTAGTTGATTACTAATCCAAGATGTGCTTTTGTCTCGTTCTGTTTTGGTGAGGACCAAATCGTTTCGCATTATTTTTGTCGCTATTTAATTATTTTTGCCTTTTATATTAATACAAAAACATCGTGTACAACTTTGTAAACAAACCTAAAGTGAGCTGTTCATACATTTGTCTATAAGACTGTCATCTCATCTTCTATTTCCAGTTTGCACGGAACAAACCTTGGGGATCATGGCATAGAAATGTTGCTTCCCTCTCTCCGTTCTCACCCCAACCTACAATCCCTAGATCTTGGTGACTGTCAGATAGGTGATGATGGAATACAGCACATCTGTTCGATCTTAGTACCCAGAGAAGATAAAGAAAATATCCAAGACCTGACACTATCTGCAAACCACAAAATCACAGCCTATGGCTGAACACAACTTGCAATGGCTGTCGCAGCTAACTCCAAAATCAGAGGGCTTTATCTTGATTATAACAATATTGGTGATTATGGTGCTGGGATTTTTTCAGTTGCTATGGCAGCAAACAAATATATTGAGAGACTTGATCTTGAAGGGACTGGAATTACTGACAAAGGTGCCAGACTCTTGGCGAGTAGTCTGGGCAAGTATTGTAAAAGGCTGCAAGAGCTTGTGCTTGCCGAAAACCCCATCAGTACAGATTGGTTGGAGCAAATAAGTGATTCATTAATTGTTTTGGCCACAGAAAATGGCAACAGTACTGATCATAACAATAGTGATGTTGCTTCTCATAAGTCCAGCCCAAAAGCAAATATGAGTGGTCATAATTAAGAAATTTTGTTTTTGTACGAAAGTGAATAAATTAGAGGACTATTTTCATGAATTCTTTCCAAAGGTTTTATAAGTAAAAATGCATGATTTCGGATTGTGAAAGACAATGTAAGGTAAAGGTAAAACATATCCTACAATAAGGACACTCAAACTATTAATACTTTTACTGAACTTTCTACTGTTTCAAACCCTTCTAAATAAAGAATTGAGTTTAAAATAACCAAGTGATCAAAATCAATGTCATTTTCAAGTGATTGACTCAAGAGATGCATTATAAAAAGGGGGAGGGATCTCAAAGTGTTCACAATTTTAGTGTCTACACTGTAAGCCAGCAATAGCCGTTTGCTGCTGTAACATTCAGGGAAGCCTGCATGCAAACATTCCACTCTCTTACAAAAGCACAAAACCAAGTAACAAAAAATATATGCTTTCTTGTGACTAGTAAAGTAAGAGCCATAAATATCCCATTAACACGTAAATGTACAACTTACAATAATTTTGATGAAATAAACTTTTATCGCAATCACTTTTTAAGGCGACAAAATATTTAAATAGTAAGTTAATTCAATTAAGTCATTTCTATAGGCCACATTTAATAAATCAAAATTCATTCTTCAAATTATTAATTCCAGCATAAAAAAAGCAAGGCCTTGCATGAAGACAACTGATCCTAAAGAATATTTATACAGTTTGATAGTTTATATTGAGTGTTTGAATTGTCTTTGTATCAAAACTCTTGCAATACTGCAATTTCAAGATTTTGGGGTTTTTTTTGGCTTCAGAGGTAGTTTCACAGGGCTAGCTTCATTTTAATGTACAATTGTTTACAAATTTTATATATATTCATTGCAGAGAAAAAGAATTCACATCTTTTAACAAAAATACAGCTGACACTTCAACCATTTACAGACCTCTGAACAGATAGAGTCTAGATCTAATAAGCATGGACATTAAACACAAAAATGAGGCTAGCCTATAGCTACATAACAAAATGGAAAACTGAAGTGTAAGACCATTTATTAGTTAATATTATTTTGTAGACATAAATTATTTCTTCTTCGGCTCCTTCAGTCCAGGGAATTCTAATTTCCTTGGTTTCATGAACTCCGCAAGGACTTCATCTGTTACAAGCTTGCGTCTTTCTTGATGGGCTGCTACTAGTGGCTGCAATATTTGGATCAGTTCCTTCTTGATCTCTCCTGACAACATCTTACCACTACAATAATCCTGTAACAGAAAAAGGGCATTGTAACATGGGTAGCATATAGTACTAATGTGATGACCTCTCCAATGCTAAGTTTGTGACAGAAGGCCCCAGTTTGTGTGTAAGTTAAGTTCGTTCAATATGTTGCTCTCTCCTATGCTACAAGGGGTTTTCTCTAGCTTTACTATAATTTTGCTAAAACTTGTTCTAACATGACATATATAAAGTCTAAGTTGAATATTGGTAAAAAGGTTATAACAGTTAATTTTCTTAGTTCTAACACAACATCATATATAAAGCTAGTCTAAGAAGAATATTGGTTAAAAGTTAATTTATTTACAGCTAATTTTCTTTACAAACCTGTTTAATTTGTTCCATTTTTGCATCATCCTCCACGAAGAAAGTCAAATATTTGTAGGGAATATCAACCTCTATATCACCACCCAGTTCTCTGTGCTCTTCAACAGTAACCTTTCCTCCTGAGAATGCATACTTGTTTATCTGTGGAAAACAATCGAATTAGACTTGTTGCGTGTAACTCCACAAGGGTAGGGGAGATGGCTCACATGGAGTAACTAGGCATTTTTTATTCAGCTCATGCTGGCCGGCCTAACCTAGCTAGCAGAAGATCCTAAGCAGGGTCAAGAGGAATCCTCTCCCTAACAGTGTACAACATGCATGCAACTTCAATTATATACAGAGAAGTAAATCTAAAATTTAAAACTGACCTTTTTCTTGATTTGGTTTGGCGTATCTGTGAGAAAGATCGAGGAATTTGGGTCACTAGCACTCATCTTGGTCTTAGCTCCTTGAAGGGCTGGGAAGAATGTTGAGAAGATCAGAGAAGGCTTATGGAAGCCGATTCTTGGAGCCACGTCTCTTGTTAACCTAAAATAAGGATCCTGTATGAAAAGAAAAGATATCCAGTAGATTAGATAAAGAAAGTAACTTTCATTAATCTTGCATCCATTGGTATAATAAATTATAGTCTTTTGAGAAGTATGTACTTACTGGCTTCCCATGAAGAAGCCAAAATTGCACACCTAATCAATTCCCTCTCCCAATCAGTACTTCTGTAAGGCAGGGCTTAAAGTAATGGCTACTAATATAAGTTGCTGATCACAATCACAGGCCAAATTAGTTTTAGCTTAGTCACTCCTCATTTCTGGCTAAACGTTACTGTTCAAACATGCAAGGCAAAAGTTTGACTGGACAAGTCCCAGTTCTGGCTGGACATTGTCCAATGTCAGACCATTACATGAAGCCCTGTAACGTTATAGTAAATAAATGTAATTCATAAATAAATGTAAGATAGTTAAATAAGGATGTTGGTAGGTCGATGGTATCTTAACAGTAGGTTGTTGGTAAATGTAATTTAGTTATGATCTAAGCAACACTTGCTTGCAGTTTCATTCATACCAGTTAATGATAAGATAGTTACTCTACCTGGTCAATGGCACAAGGGATCAGACATGGTACATCTTTTCTGCTTCCAAAAGTCTCAGGAAATGAACTACAGAAAGCTGGAGCTGCTTGAACAGCAGGAAAGGCTATTTTACCTGAAAAAAAAAAAAAAAGACAGGTTAAAACAGGTAAACTGGAATGCTTACCTTAACAACCACCTTCTACCTACCTCCCCCTCTCAGAAACAAATAGAATGGATATAAATATTTTGTATTTTCTTCAAGTTCCTAGCTCAGCAATAGAAGCTTTGCACCATCATCACACGATGGCCGTCATATGAGACACAGCAATAGTGTTTTTCCCAGGGAAACTAAATTCTTTCTCATGTAAATCAGATTAGACCAGATTCAATTGTTACTTCCTCCTGTAATGGTTGCCAATGATCATATTGATGATGGAAAGCTTCTATTGTAGTGTTTTAGGATCCAAAGAAAAGTGGCTTACCTATACTATCTGTTTCTACAAAACCAAAAGTAGCTCTGACTTGGTTGAAGGTAATACATTTTTGAATTTTAATGATATTTTGGTAGAATGATGGACTGTTCCTGAAAAGTCAATGGAAAACCAATGCCATAAGCTCAACTATATTTACATATATTAGCATGATGATAATTTGCCAACCATTATCGCAAGGTTCATCACTAAGCCCATTGCTAGGACCTTGAAAGTGGAGGTTTATTTTTCTACCAATCTTAGTTATGCCACATCTTGATAAAGATTTTATTGCTTTATTGGGTCTTAGTTTTTTTTGTTTTTTGTTTTGCATGGAAGAAGAGGGGGGGATACATTCAAACCATCAAACCACCCCCACTGACTGGCCTGGATCAGGGAATTTATCTGTGGTTGGCACAGTAATAACAATAGCTTAGGTCACATCAACTAGCGCTATAGTAGTAGATAGCCCTATACTTGTTCTGCTCTATCATTCTAGTTCACAAAAGATAGAGGGAGATGGTTTTCTATGATGAGTCATTCATCTCTTGAAGGAAAAGCAAAAACATAAAGAATAAGAGGTATATGGTAATGAGATAGTTAAGTTCAAGAAGGTAATCAAACATACCCTATGTAATCAATATCTGAAAAAATAAAGGTATTTTTGGGATCAAATCCCAGAGCAATTATATCTTTAACATTTTCATAGCCTAGTCTGTGTGTTTCCTCGCTTGTAAGGTGCTTCTTCAGGAAGAATTTCTCATCATCAGTCATTTGAATGACTAAAGGGACATTGAATGCTTCTTGTAGATACCTGATGAAGAGGTCAAGAATAATAATTATTTAGTTATTTAATCAAGAAATGGCATGAAGAATGCACGATTCCTGATCAAAACCCATGGCTAGATGTGCATAAGTAAGCCGGTAATTGGCCAATAAATACCCTCAGTCATCATCTAATCAAAATTATCCAAACCCTATTGTGCTCTCCACCAGATGGTTATATGTATCTGCATGTAGAGCTGGATTATGCTTAATTATCAGAGTAGAATTATAGCCAAATATTGACACTTCATGCACCAAATGAAATAACTATTGTTCTGCACTGACTATAAGCAACTGACTAGTTAGCCTCATACATGTTAAAATGCTTTTATGTTTCCACATGAACATGAGACTAGTGCAGAAGTCATAGTCAGTGCAGAACAGTAGTTATTCAAATTGGTTGCCATATTTCAATTCAGTGTATATGCCATRAGCCATGTGAGTTATCAATTTTTTAATGAAATATATATGTTAAAAAAAAATTAGTTACAAAATATAATTATTGCATTAGTAAAAGATGGCTTGCAGTAAATAACAATACCATTAGTCTTACTTTGTGAATATAAAAGGGATAAGATGTCCCAAGTGCATTGACTCTGACGATGGTCCTCTACCAGTGTACAGGTAAAATGGTTGACCTTTCTCATACATGTCAAGCATGGCATCTAGATCTCTGTCAGGGAATTTAATAGTACTTTCAGTATCACTTTCATAATGACAGCCAGCATCAATAACAGGCTACTGGTTTTAACTATGAAGCCATCAGTAGCAATAAGGTAAGATATATTTTTAAATAAAAAGGAGGGCTGAGGGATTCCCATTATACTTTTTTAAAAATTTGTAAACCTCCTCCTTTCACTCAGTAAGAAATTTATGACTCTCCTATAAGTCAACAAGGAAACAGCTTTCTTCAAAATAAAAAACCTTTGACACTCCACAAAAGTTCAAATTTCTACTCATGAACCCTCTACTCTGAATCCACAGTA